CTCCTTTCAGCCAGGGCACTATGGGTGTATCAGTGACCAGGTTTATTAGCGGGAGTGGTTTGGGATGGCCCTCGTGGCGACAGGGCCTCGGGGGCCAATGATGGGTCACTGTGGGGCCTGGCTTCTCAGGATCAGCCATTTCCGCATCTCCGTTCTCAGATCCAAACAACACTTGTTTTGCTAATTATGCGATGTGGGCGGGGCTGTTTTCCAGGTGGCCGGTACCCTTGCCCAGCTCACCCAGTGCCTTCCGGGCCCCTGGGAGAAACCACAGAAAGGTTCTTGCATTGCCATGGTGACCTGCTTCCCAGCTGAATGAAACATGATCACATCTATTATTCATTTACAGTGTGCACCCTTTTAGCCAAAGTGGCTTGCGGAGCACGCATTTCACCACCTCCCGGGGATTCGAACCCACATCATCCTGGTTCCACACGCCGGCCCCGATTTTTGTCCCCATTCCTTTTTATTGGCGCTGACACCCCACCTTTCAAATGAATTAAAGTCGACAGATTTCGGTTTGAAATTGGCATGGTTGTGGGTCTGCCCGTGTCTAACAGGTCTTATTTACATAGCCATTAGCAGAGTTAATAAGCGCCTTTCGTTCTGATTAATATAATCACCGTATACATAAGCTAGTGGAGAAGAGGCAGAATGGAGGCATAGGGCCGGGGGGAAGGAGAGAGAGTAATGTGGATGCAGGGAAGGATGGATGGGGAGCAGGAGAGATGGGGTTGGGGGGACATTTTGGGGAGACTGGAATGTTGTTCGGTACTCTGCAGTTTCGACTGTGTCTCACTTCCACATTTGGCTGTTCGGTAGGGAAGACGCCATGATGTCTTGCCATCTGCTTTTCCCGCCCATTTGGTGAGGTGCCCTCCTACGTGCAAGTGGCTTTTCAGGTCTGCCTCGCTCCAGCAGGGGGCGACAGAGAGAAACGGAAACAGGCCCATGTTTAGAGGCACAAGAAGACGGTCATAGTCATCTAGAAGCAAAAACAGCAATCCGTATATCTGTTGGGTCTTATCATATCCCACAAGCACAGAACGCATTTGGGTTAAACCAGCGTGATGGGCCCGACGAGCCCAAACATCACCCCTCAGACAAGCGGAAGTTTCCGGTTCCTGGGTGTGCCGTTTGGGTTTGGCGGTGCTCCATGGCGCACGTCCCACCCCCCCTCCGCCCAATGGAGTGCAGCTCAGATGCTGCCTGCCTCGTCCTTGGCTCCGGGACGGCAGATTGATGAATGTGGAGTCAGGGCAGGTTTTGAGGAATGGCCTGCCCCGTTCATACCTCTTCAGACCACTTTGTTACTGTCACTCTGACAGCAAGAGGAGTTATTAGCCTGATGCCTGCTGAATTTCCCAGACACTCTTTTTATAATGCCGTGGACATGCATTGTGTGTGTGCCTTCACTGGTAGAAAGTGGGTGTAGCTTTTTTTATTGGAGATATTTATGTGATCTAACCCCCCCCCCCCCCCCCCCCCATCTGTCTGTGATC